ATTACGAAATTACAACCGATTGACAACACTATATATAGATACAGGATATACTTATCAGTAAATACAGGAATATTTTCACAACCGCGATGTGAAATTTGACAACGGCGGTGCGCCACTGTGCTTTTTATGTATAAGAAACCCTGCTACTGTGAGCATACTTGCAGTATGCAAACATCACAAAATGTTCTTATTGAGCCAGAAATGTGCTCCGAAGTTGATTATTTTCATGTTATTTTGAAACTCTGTCGGACAAAGTTTCGGCGTACAGATACACATAGAGCGATGTGACTGAGAACGCTAACAGTAGGCCTACGCTAGCGCAAATAGTTCCTGGAAAGAAAAAACTATATTTGTTTGCTGATTGCATAAGTGATGTAGATAACATGATTTAAACAAATTTTACAATTTTGTACTGAACAAACATTGAATAATGAATAATAACTTGTTCTATCATAGACTTAGAAAAGAACTGTTAATGAAAACTGCGATCGCTCGGCTATGTCCCGGATGTGTAAACACTGTGTAAACATTGAAAGTACTAGTTTCGTAAGACTGTTTAGGTTTGCTGAAGAAATGTTATGAAAGTAGCAATACAAATGAGTTGTAGTGAATATTTGCAACATAGACGAGCTCACAGTAGGTATATCTATGCATTTTGCTGCGAGAACATGCAGTTTGGAGTCCTGTGCATCCTGGATTGCTAATCACTGGACGATCTGCAGCCGGATATACGCGCGAAGCGCGAACAGCGCCGCCTCGCGGCGCCTTTTGATCGAAATCGCTGCCCTGTTGAAAAAATTTTCCCGAGGCCCTTCTGGGTATAGGATAAAGCCGTATAATCGGTCAATTGAGGAGTTGTGGCGATTGCAGAAGCCTTTCGACTATGCACGTAGGGCGAGAATAAATCCAAATGCTCGTTTTTGTTGGTTTGTGGCTCGGCGCGCGTCCTTTTCGTGTAGAAAAATAATTTCCCCTTTTCGCTATTTCATGCCCTGACATTAATTTGGAAGTTATCGCGACCCATAGATGGCGCAACGAGTCCATCTACGTACCATTTTCAAGTATTTTTTGAAAAAAAACGCTCGGCTTGATGACCTAGACTGCCGCGCGGTGCACAGTTCGACACGCTAGCGTAACTCACTTCAGTATAGCCAACGATAGTTGGCTGAGTGAAGGTCGGTAGCAGTCTAGCCCTGCACTCGTCACTGCCCGTATCCATCTTGTCGCACCAATGTGAATGTTCTAATGTTTGCCATTATGATTATCACGTGATAGTTAGAGAATATATCGTCGCGTCGTGTTCGTGTTATGAAGACATTATGTTTTCATAAGAAGTCAACACTGTTCTTCAAATAGAAACAAAGATCGAAGCTGTTGGATGAGTATTGTAAAATTGTTGTCTAGTACGTACTACTAGTTACTACCAGGAGCTAATATAGTAATACTAATAGTAATAGTAATAATGACAAACTGTGTTA